ATGCCTACAAGATAGGAAAGAGAGCAAAAGAGAATGAAACCTGCATGGAGAGGCGTCCTAAGAAGACTTCGGTGGCTCCTGCCAGAAACAAAAGACTTCTAAGACAGAGTGGCAATTAATTAATTAGACAAACTTGAGCTTGCAGACTAAAAGAAAGCCTAGAGTGTTCTGAGAGGCTGTTGAATTTGCTGAAGAACTTGAGTCTTCTTACATCAGTGCATTGGAAGAGGAAGCAGTTATCAGTGAAGGGAATGGAAACGGATTTTCATGAGCCTATAAATATGCCTCTGTGTTAAATATGCATTATAGAGAACGAGATTCTGATCTCTGTCCTGAGAGATAGTTTTGTGTTGGTTCTTTTTAGAATAAAATGGGTTTCTAAAATGAGTGAAGTTAGAAATAATAGGGAAAAAAAACAGTAGTTAATTGCTGAGATTATTAGAATCTTGGTAAGTATAAGTACCTGAAATCTAAGCAAGATGATTAGGAAGTTGTGAGGACCTATTTGGATTTCTTTGGCACAGTGTTTGAGAAATGAATATCCACAAAGTGTGCCGCAAAGTCCTTTTTTAGTCCATTTTAAAACCAAAGTCCAGGTAAAGGAGAGGTTCTGTAAAGGCAGCTGATTTGCAGTGGACAGATTATTTTGCCTCTAAAACACAGATCATCATAGCTACCTGCGATGATATTTATCCAGAAAAGCAAAGAGAAAATACAGTGAAACAGTCTTGGATTCTGGCTGCTGAAATCATTTTGGCTTTGAAGGAGACGTGGGTGCTTGTTTGTGCGCTGAGTGCTTTTGATGAACCAAGGCAGTACAAAGAAAGTAGATGCAAAGTAGGAGGCAATGTATCTAGTAAATACTTGTATACACAGAAACTCCTGAGAAGAAAATGAACTTATTTTGATGTTGAACTTACTCTACTGCATCATTCTAACATTAAATGTAAAGCATATGATGATCTAAATTTCATCATTGTAAAGCAATCATCCTGCTTCAGTATGGATCCTGTACAGCAGCGATAAAAGGAAATACTTCATTAAACAGCTAGTTCATCATTTACCTGCTGCAAAGATAAAATAAATCCTGTGAGCCATCAAGGCATTAATCATACTTTCCTCAGTTGTTGAGCCTAACCCATCATTCTGAGGAAGAAGAGATGAAAGCAGATTCAGCGGGCTGCAGAAAACAAGCTTGCAGGAGGCTCCACGCTCCGCACTCCGTGGGGGAGGCTGGGGATGCTGCAGCCGGAGAGGAGGCGCAGCCAGAGAGGGAGGCCTGTCCTGGCGGCGGGACGGGGCTCTGCCCGGAGCGCGGCCCCGGAGCGCCCGGGATGGCTCTGGAAGGGGCGGCTCTGGAGCCTGTCACCTTCCTCGCACCCGGGTGGCATTTGTCAGAGCCAGGTAGTATTTCATGCACGCCAGCGTGTGAGTAAATCCAGATACACCCGCGATAAGATGAAAACGTCTCGCTGGATGCTGAATCCGGGGGCGTCCTCTGGAAAAAGGGGAGCTCAGCTCCCCAGCCAACAGCCAAGCCTCATGGAATTGCAAGTTACTTGCAAGTTTAATACTGCAGAAACACCGGGGAGCTGAGCAAGGGGAGGTGTTGCAAACCTGAGCACCCTTCAGCATTTCCAGGTTTGTTAAGGGCTTTTGCAGGCGCTCGCGTGTGAGCCTGTCTTTGTACAGAGCACAGTTTCTCATACTCATGTTTTGATGAAGAGGCAAAGAACTCAAGTGTGCAGCAGCTTTTTGCAAATATAGATAGCAAATCTATGAGTAAGAATCATTTCCTTCCTTTTTTTTTTTTAATTGCTGGTGGAAAAGGGTGATCATAGGCAGTAACTCCCCACAGTGGTTCATCACATCTGCGAAACACAAAGACTGAAAAAATGCACTGCAAATTTTTAACACTTACCTATAGCTAAAGTTCATACCTAATCCAGAAAGCTCTGGTGGGAACAGATGCTACCTGAAAAAAATAGAAAGGAACTGGTTGCTTAAGAAGGGACGATGTACTTAGAAAGTAATAGATACCAAGTTCTTTTCTTCTGCTTTTTTGTTGTGAATGGGTGCATGAGTTTTTGGGCATGTCCTGAGGCATCTTCAAAAGAGGACTTAGATGCGTGAAAAGGTCCAGTGGGATAGACATGTCCATGCTAGAATACAGTATCACTTCTTGCTTAGTAAAGGCTTTTCATTTACAGCAGGGAATTTTAAAATGTGAAAGATTAAGTACAGAAGATAGGAGGTAACTTCCCAGCTGCAGATAATCACAGAGGCAGGTTGCAAAATTTAAAACAAAAATGCAAGACGTGAAACAGGAACATGGAATCCTTGTGGGAAGCCTTTCTTTTGATGTATTTGTCTGCTTGATATAGTTACTGGTCGTCAACTTTTGTTGGATGCCCCTGATTTGAAAGAGTTACTGAAAGCAACAAAGATCTGAACTGCAGAATCCGAACTTTTAAAAGTCTGCGTCTGAAGGAGCGAAGGGAATCAGTGGGAAAAATTGAAAGAACTCTGATGATAAAGCTGATGGAGGTGAAAGAAGGGAAGGGAAAGAAGGGTTCCTTATGTCTGCTGAGGAAAGTGAATCCAGAGCATTTGTCTCAGAATGACATCTTTAAATTGGGCAAGGCCTATTACTTTAGATTTTGGAGACATAGGAAACAGGAATGTTAGAAATTCATTCACTGAGGGCCTTTTGAGTTTTCTAAAGGGTAACCCAATAGTCAGGAAAAAATTCCAATAGAGTTTGGGTTGTGATGTGAAAATATCTTGAAAGAAATACACTGTGTAAGTGTGACTTTTTAGTTTGTCCTCTGTAAATGTCTCCTTTTTACTGTCATGGGTCTTGCTACCATTCTATATGCCACTATTATGATGAACCGGGAGAAAGGGTTGCTATGATGAAGCACGGCTCCAATCTTACTGTGCACTGACAAGACTTTTACTTTAGACTAAATGTGAAAAAACTGTTTAGTGTTTTATGTACTAGCTAGCTGGAACTGCAGGAATTTTTGCAAATACAGGCAATCTACTGGCCTCGTTATGAGTTTGCGCACAGGTGAGTATGAACAAAACCCCAATGGTCTGGATACAGCCAGAGGGAGCTGTGTGTGCATGGGTGTGGATGAAAGCCATAGAGCCGCACGCCAGCAGCACGTAGGTAAGAGCCAAGAAACTTGGAAAAAGCACTTGAAACAGGACACCTGGGGAAAAAAAAAGCTAAAGAGAGTGCTCTGGGACAAAGGGCCACAGAGAAAAAAAGCTTGGAATCATGAAAACACTTCCCTTCATTTGCATCGTATTGAATTTAGGACAACAGAACTGTATGTATGTTATTCTGTTATTCATAAAAAACATAATTGCACCAGAGAACTAACTGACTTACAATTGTTTTTCCCATCCATGTGACCCTTTTCTTTTTTTTAGCTTATGATTGGGTCCAAGGATATCCATAATTTGAATGGTTTGGGAAATCTGGTACAACAGTATGAAACCAGCAAATACCCATAAAGGGGAATTTCATGAATAGAGTTTTGCCTCTTTTCCCTTCCCTTTTCCTCTCTCCACCTGATAGTAGAGTGACTTATTACCGAGTATCTGGGCTACCATTAAGGGACTTGGAGAAAACAGAATAACAGGTAAGAAATTGGCTATGTTAATGGAATGTGCATTATAAAAGGGCAAACTGGCTCTTTTAGACAAAGTCTGAAAATGGAGCTTATATTGTTTTCTTGTGCTATGACTACATATAATTTATAGGAAAAAAAATTATATGTTTTTACATGTTGGTTTTCTTTTGCAGTAATTGTGGGCTTGCTAAGGTATGGAACTGACCTAATAGTTGTAATTGTGACCTCTAAGTAATTGTTAATTTTGCTGTCAGTATGTGCTTCACATTTCTTACTTAATGGTATGCTAATTGTACAGCAGAATGTCACGTTCTCCAACATACAGATTCCCGATTTCAATTATCGCTAAGTAAATCTTCATTACTAATGAGTAAGCATTTCTTTTCCACGTACATTTGCATTATAATGGACATTTTCTTTATGCACTAAATTATTTTTTTCCTTGACAACAACTATATGCTTTATTTTGCAGCAGAGGCTACGAGATGATGATTCATTCTTTTCTGTTCGAGTTATGTGTATTTAAATTGTCAAATACTCTAGATAGCCTTATGTTTTTCTGTCCTGTGTTATTTTTCTGTAATTCCAGAATAAATGTATGTATTTGCTTTATGACAACAAAACCTACTTAAGACAAATGCCTAAAAAGTAAGCTAACCTGCCTGTTGTGAATTAAGCTGTATTTTGAAAATTATTGCACTGTTTCATTCATGTTGCTGGGCAATCTCACCTGCTTTTTCTTGTGTCAGTGCGAAGTGACCTTTATGAGATAATGTTTGTGTGATCCAAAGCTAAGGAGTGAGTGACTGCATGTGACCCGTATCCCTGCAGGATCCCTCTCAGCTCTTGGGGTATTAAAAGCAGTCCCCCAAACATATACTGGCTGCTCTTAACGTATCCGTCTGCAAGTGCGGTGGACAGCGGAGCACAGCGAGGGGAAAGGCCGCCGGGACGTCCGCGCGGCGCCGCTTGGCTGCCCCATGGCTCCCGCGTGGGAGCTGGCGCCAGGCCCGGGAAGAGCCTCCCAAAGCTGTTTTAGTATCAAAGAGGGCACCCTAATTAATAGTCATTAATATGAGTTGGCCTGGTGGTGGGGGTGTGTATGGGGAAGAAGATGGGAGCTGGGTTCTTTTAATAATGTAAGTACACGGGGTGTTATTCGATAGCAACAAAATGTGGTAAAATCCTTAGGTAGCGTTGCAGAAGTGCAGGAGGAAATGTTTGCAAGCAGATGTTAGAAGTAACCGAATGATTTCCTGCTCACTGTGCATGAATTCTTTCTAGCCTTGTGTATATCCTGATAATCGGATGGATTACAGTATAGATACAAAGTTTGTTTTGTTTTTATTTTGAAAGGCCTACGGTATGCAGCCTTTTTCCCAGACAGCAGCAAAAAACAAGGTGAACAATTTTTGCACTATGTGGTTTTGAATTCTGTCATATTTTCTATTACGTTTCTGTCTTCCATTAGGATAGCTTAGTTACTCTATTAACCACCACCATCATCCATATATATCACTTCCAATTCTGAGTTTAGTCTGCATTATGTATGTACGTAGTTTGATGATTTTTTCTCTCTCCTTGGGGGCTGGAAGTGGTTGCTCACATGTTACAGTTCGAGATGTTACAATGGTTGCCCTTTAATCAGTCATTTTTGGAGGGGCTGATGACACCTGGTGGTGTATTTTGCAAATGCAGACTTAACCGTGTTTGCAGCTGGCGATTTTTTACCTGTCCTTAACTAGCAAACTGACAGTCAGTCAGAGCTATTTAAAAGAATCTGATCTCTGCATGAAAAATATATATATATATATGTGTTGGGAGCATATTCTCCTCCCATTCAAACTTATATAAACTAAAAGAAGTAATAACATTTCCCTGCTGTCGGAGCAAAATTGTGCCTCTGACCTTGCTATTGATGTCAGTAGTGTAGCATTCACAAGAGCTGTGTGCCTTTTTTATTTTCTCTATTAACTTTACAAATATCTTGCATAAATGAATGTTTAAAATATACATATACACTAAATATACTGCATTAAACTGAGAATCCTTTCTAGGAAAAATTAAGGTGATTAGAAATATGATGTTTTCAAAATTCTGCGGTGGTGTTACTGGAGGAAGCTTCTTCTGGTGTTTTGTTCTAATGTCATGATTTCTGGCTTGAGTGTGTGATTTTGCTTGCCAGCAAATATATTTTCTTATGTTTATGAAGGTCCACGTCCATCTGCCAGTATTCCTAAGAGTGGAATATCTGGGATACCAATAAGCACCTACTACAGATAATCATTAAAAATTCTGAAGTACCTGATTGTGTCATAAAATACCACAGGACCCAGGACCTATTGGGCTCTATTCTATTTGATTTTTATCTGGATAAATCTTTAATCAAAAGTATTTTTTTCTCTTGCTTAATTGGCCCTTTTACTACTATGTGATTTTTGTTTGTTTGTTTCAGAAATAAGACCAGCGTACACTAAATACAAAAGATGTTTTAGGGATTGTTTTATCCTGCTTTTTCTCTGTGTACAGGCCAATCAGACACAGCTACAATGCAGTATCTTTAGTTGTTTCTAAAATGTTGTGAAGAAATGACCCCAAAGTGTACAGCCACTGGACTTTGTGGAAGGGGAAGGATTTTGTGAAATGAGACTGTACTCCGTAGAAACAAATTAGGTGATATTATAATGCCATCCTAAGATAGACAATATCGAAAAGTTAAATGAGGAAAAATGATAGAAGAGTCAAATTACATTGTGAAGCTGAACAACAAAGGAAGGCAAAGTTACGAGTTCAAAAATCTTTGGTTAAGTCTTTATTTTAGTTCTGAAATTACTGCCCTAGCAGTCCAACATTCGATGTGTATAAGCTTTAGTGTAGGAAATTGGGGTTGAGGCTGTCCTGGTTTCTCGTGGGGGCTCTGACCAAGTGTACCCAACACGGCTGCTCCACAGCACCCCGAAACTACAACAGCCACTTCCACCGTGAGGCCTCCCCGCGCTCCGCGCAGAGAGGCCCCTCACATGAGGAGTTAAGTGACACTAGTTTGCCAGGCATGGAAAAATGAGAATCAGACAACTGCCAGTCCTAGTTGTTGGTGGCAATTGCTTGCCCCAGCTGCACACAGTGAGGTTAAATATGGCTTAATCAGATTTTTAGCAAGATAATTTTTAAAAAAATAGAATTTATCTTTTTAGAGAATTGAACCCATTGAAAAGTGATATTTGCCTTTAAAAGGAATTGGGA